TCAACCATTTCCAATGACAATTACTGGAATAAGAGTAACAGGAGCCAGTGAAATGCCTGTGTAGATACAGTGTGATATACTCTGCAGTTCTTTTCTAAGTACTAACAAGTCAAAAAGAAGCACACACAAATATCATCTTTAAGGAGAAAATAGATTAAATTTAAGGGATCTACCCAAAGAGTGATTTAAAAGCAGAAAGAAACTTGAATTAAATGTCAAAAGACCTGACTCTTGGCCCTCCCTGGTGGTGCAGCGGGTTAAAGCACAGCACTAAGAAGCTAAAGCCACTTCCGCATGAGTTCGATCCCCACCTGCCCCGGAGGTGACCACATGGCGCGGCAGACCTCTCCTGACCCGCCCGCTGCTCCCCTCAGCAGTGTACTTCGTCTATCTGCCTGTTCTGCTCCCCGCTCTGTCTCTGGTGAAGCCTCTCACCCTCCACATCTCTGGCCTGTACCCCAGTTCTGTATGAATAAATAAAAAAAATTTTTTTAAATAAAATAATAAAAAAATAAAATATAAATAAATAAAATAAAATAATTTAAAAAATTAAAAAAATAAAAATAATAAATAAATTAATTAATTAAAATTAAAATTAAAATTAAAAAAATTAAAAAAAAAAAGACCTGACTCTTACTGAGTCCCAAGTCTCACTTCTTTCTTATTCACTCTCAAGCAAATCATTTTACTTCTCTAGTCCATATGATCACTCTGGTTCCTTCAAGTTCAAATGCTATAATTATACAATCAAAAGTCCCTGTGGTCCTGAAGAGTTAGAGATGGAGAAAGATAAAGGGAAAAATGATAAACAGTGACATTGAGGGATACTGTGATGTGGTGGGTGGAGCTTATGATTGGTACAGACATTAGGTCCTCAATTGATACTGCCCCTAACTGGCTGATAACCTTTAATGTCACTTCCTCTCTTCAGACCAACATTTCCCCCTTTAATACCAGATCATTTCCCACTTCTAACATCCTAGGATTCTAAAGTATAGGTTACTGCTGCTATGAGCAATGACATTCTACAGAATTGGTATGTTTGTGTTAGTCAGAAATAGGACATATAGATAAAATATTCAGCAGTCAGAAGGGTCAAACTTCACGTGAGCTTTTCCAAGTTTCAACTCAAATATTTATATAGAGCCACTCACAAGCACTGATCTAAACTCATTACTGGACTATACTGAATTCCCCCACCACCACCACCATTTTTTTTTAAATGCCAAAAACGGACCAGAAAAGAAACATGCCATTCAACCATCCAAAAATCCAGCCTCTCTGTTGTCTCTTTTCTGCTACCTTAAGTCCTTACTCTTGTCACTGTCTGGACTGAGCCAAACCTCTCTCTTGATGCAAATTCTTCAAGTTCTTTTCAAGGTGCAAATCTCACTTCCATACTTGCATGAAGCCTGCCTTTCTCATACCAACCCACATCCACCTCTCATTATTTTAAACTCCACTGGTTCTGCATTTGTGTGGTAAAGGTTAAACACTATTTGTAAAGAGTTTAAGTACAACATCTGGCATGTGGCCAGCTATTATAAATAATAGTTGTGGTTGGCGTTGTTGCACACCTTTACTGCTAATGATGTACCCCTTAGTTCAGTGCTCTGTAGAGTTAATGTGCACATGAATTACAAAGAGATCCTGTTCAAATGCAAATTATGGTTCAGTAGGTCTGAAGTGAGAACTGATAATCTGTAGTTCAAAAAGTTCCTGCTGGACAAAAGGTCTGGGAAGGCGGATACTATGTCTCATTTCTTAGCAGCTATGCCTTATAGAGAGGACATGCTATGGGCTTACTGTAACTGCAGTGCCTGGATAACCTCCAAAGCATTTGTGCTCTATTGATTTTCAAATCAAACACTAAGACATGCTAGGAGGGAAAAGCTCATCTGGTCACTGGAACTGGAATTGCTAGAATGAAGGCAAGGGAGCGACTAAGAGAAAACTTACCTCTTCCGTGTGAGTGCAGTGCATAGGAAAAACAAAATATACAATGGATGTCATTTCTCTTTTAAGCCAGAGGGTCATCAAAGTGCAGTCTTAACTGTACTTCACACTTGGGCAAGAACCATAAAAGAAGACATGTATTTTGAGGCAGTATATATTTTTAATAACACTTTTAGTAATTACAAGTAAGGCATCTATGAGTTTCATTTCATCGTCTTAGTGGTGCAGATACATTTTCAATGGTCTTTTTGTGTGCCGTTAATCGGAAGATCTCAGACAACCCATGAAAACAGACAGAAGGAGAGAGCAAATGAGCAAGCGAGTGAGAAGAAAAACACCTTCAATTTTCCCATCAAACTGGCCAGTGATGAGGTCCCCAAATACTACTGCCCACAATTACATGAAGAGAAATTCAAAGGACTCTGGCTGTGTAGGAAAACTACTGAGAGGTTGCCTATTGTAAGCCCTTCTTTCAAGTCCCCAATTATTTAAATGCTTGTTAAAACACTCTTTCTTTGAGCATTCCATAATTCCAGTGGGACCAATATTCTTAAATTCTGTGGGGAGGATACACTCTGACTTCCTATCCAAACACCAGGAAAAAAACATTGGGTAGATATGACACCTGCTTGCTGAATACTATCTCGGTAGTTTAAACAGAGACAATTTTACCAAAATTAGTCTGTGGAACAACAAAATAAAAAGACCTTTTTAAGTTCCTTGTTATAAACAACCACCTGGTCTTAACTCACAGAGACTTTTCAATAAAACCACTCATCAATATTTAACTGGGCTGTTTCAAGCAAAATTAGGCAGGGTTGAGACAAACTGCAATTCTGAGAAATGCTATTAAGCAATGAAACACAGAAGCACAGAACTGCTGTCAAACATTAGACCCAGGCTGAGTTTATGAGTCTTAATAAATCAGTGTTATTACTTCAGGGAAAAAAAAAAAACAAAACAGTTGGGAGTCAGCCTGCAGGAAAGTGGCCTATTACTTCCATCAGAAGCCTAGCCTCCAGGGCAAGGCCACATCTCTGCTATGTGCCAGGCAGTCTTTCCAGAGAATACTATCCAAGCACAGCATCAAATCTCAATCTTAGAGCTAAGCACATGTCTACAGCAGCCTCCAAACAACTATGCCCAGCATAGCCATACAAATGCAGCTGTCTACCTACAGAGACCTACCTGTAACCAGCCTCAAAATAAAGCTACCAACAAGGTGGATCAGGACAAGGTACAAGAGGTTCAGACTTTGCACAGAAAAATGAAGCGCCAATGGCATTTCCATTTCTCCTTGTCCTGGCTTCTCGTTAAGACTCGCCTTTTATGAATATTTCTCCAATAACTGACTGTCACCAATTACTCAATTTACTGAAATAACAGTCTCATTTAATAATTGTAGATTCTTTTTTGTTAACTAAGTCTCAAGTTCCCCTTTTGTCTCCCAAATTTGAATGCGTTTGTGGAAAGGCCCCTAGAGGGAGCCTATTATCAATACTGCTGATGATATAATAATAATGAGAAGCAACACAGTAGAGGTAAATGCGTCAAGTTCAAATTCTGGTGCTACCATTTGTAAGCTAAGTAACTGCAAACTCAGTTAACTTTTTCCAGCTCTGCTTCGGGAGCAAATTAGTTAATGTCTCCTGCCCCCCTAGATAAAGCACTTGTTGATAGGAATTGGGACAGAGGGGAGGGGGCGTGGTTACACTGTCACAGACTTAAATACTTTCCCCCTTCACTCTGGCTTGCTCTTGGTCATTGCGAACAAAGGTCCCTTCAGATTTTCTACTTCACGGTCCTGAGAAAAAGCCAAGGACACAAACCTCCCAAATGACCATTAGAAGGGTCGCGTTAGGGGCCAGCAGGAGGGGGGTATCCCAGCATCTCCCTTTCACTCTAAGTGCCCAAGCCGGCGCTCCCTCCCTCCCCTCCGGGTCTCCCAGTGGGAAATGGATCAACAGAGAAACGTGAAGCAGCAACAGAGGAAATGGAGGTCGACAGTGGTGCGGTTCCTCCATGCTGGTTCCTCCTGCCTTCCTCGGGGAAGGAAATCCTGAGGTGGTCCCGGCTCCAGCTTCAACCCAGTGAGGAAGGAGGGAAGGAAAACACCCCTGCGGAAGGCCTGAAGGAAAGCACCAGATGCCTCACCCGTGAGACCCATCACCACCCGGCCCCCAGCCACCCCCGGGGCCACTTCCTGCTCCACAGAGAGAATCTCCCTCACTGACTTGTGTGAAGTGCACCTCATTCATGCTTTGACCAACTAGAAGGAACATTTCTCCCAGCCTTCACCTTGGGAAAATGCCTAAAAAAGAGAAAACAATCACAGCTCTTTAACTTCCCTGGGCCGCGCGAAGGCAGCGGCGTTTGTTTGGCCGTTGAAAGGTCCCAATGTTTTACCTCAGACATCCTCTCTGCAGGTGGACCTGCCCGCACCTCTGCCACCCACCAGCACCCCTCCCGCGCGCCTCCCCCCGCCCGCCAAAGGAGCAAATCAAACGCTCCGCAGCCCGGTGCCCGCAGCTCCAAACAGAATTGTAATTATTCCACGAGGACTTCGCCGGGGTCCCGCCCGGCCGGGAGCCGCCTGGGCGCCCCAGCGGAGATGCGGCCCACCTGATGTCAACATGGCCCTCAGCCTGGGTGGGGGGGGGATTCCCGCCCTCCTCCCCCAGCCCTGCCCATCTCCCCTCAGATCCACTCAGTCCCTCCCAGAGTAGAACCTTTATGAACTGACCTTCCATGACACGTCCCTCGGGCCAGCTGGGTCCATCTTTACCTCAGCTGTTATGGGTCTGAGCTGGTCTGTCCCCTCAGGTCTCCCCAAGCCACCCCCTAAAACACCCGCATTTCTGAGGCCCCTGTTGCAGAGAGCAGCTCCTCCTCGGTGGGGTCTTAGTGGAGTGAGGAACTCCTTCCCCGGGGGCTCCCCCTCCCAGCTGGTCGGAGCCCCAGCCGCCGGCGCCCCCAAACCCACCCCTCGCCCCCACCTCCTCGCCGCGGGACCCTCCGTTCCGGGCTCGCTCCCGCGCACCTACCAGTCGGTGGCCGGCTCGTCGACGACCAGCAGCACCTTGGCCTTCCGGGCGGCGGGCGCGGGCGCGTCCACCAGGCCGGCCGAGGCGGCCGTCTGCTTCACGGCCTGGGAC